TAACTGACAAACACAAATCTGATTAGACGGCACTCTGAGAACGCAAACCAACCCCACAACTGCAAAGTACTTTTTCTTGCTAATACTACTATTGTATTAGTCTTCAAGACACATTTAAGTTAACGACATAAGCTTTCATTTTTTGAATATTTTTTTGAACAATGACCCCACTAGACAATATGGTAAAGAATCATTCCAAAATCATTCACGTCACCACTGGATCCAGATCTCCCCTGAAATAATAATCGATTAGACAACCCCTTCTAAACAAGTGAATGATCATTGAAAGTATTTTTGTTTCTAAGGTAACGAGATCCAAATCTCTCCCACATGCTAACGAGTTAAATACAACCCCTTCAAAAATATCATGAAAATTCATCTTTATTCTGATGAGTTGTCAATGAGTAAACATTCACAAAATTGATATTTCCATCCAAAGTAACCAGAACTAGATTTCTCTCAATATCTATTTTTTTGGTAGTTGTGTCAAGTTAACCCCTCCTAATAATTCACGAAAATGTGTTCATAAGTCCAACAACAATGAACCATTCCCAAAATTGCAGTTTCCATTGAAATTGGTCCAGATCTCTCCCAACGTCCAAGCTATTGGTACTTATGTCAATGGTAATCCTTCCTGACAATTGCATGCCAATTCATTCTTAACTTATAAATAAAGAATCATTTGTAAAAATCGTTGTTTCCATGGCAACCAGTTTCATATCTCAAACATGGTTAGTCTTTGTGTGAATTAGTTAGGAAAAGTCATTCACACAATTGATTTTTTCATGGAAACAAGATCCGTGAGTTGAATGAGGAATTCAAGACTCTTAGAATAATAAGGGCGCCATATTTACTGCATTATTAAGTAATACTTTCATGAATAACAAAGTTTGGATCAAAGAGAAACTTTGATATGAATAATATATCCCTGGGACAAACCAATGCACAGCTTACCTGGGTGGAATTCTTCAGGTTTGTCCCACTCACGTTCATCCATATGTAATGCCCATAAATTTGGCCAGACCACAGTTCCTTTTGGAAGTTCAAAGCCACCTGTAAACACATTCATGAGCAAATTCACTATTAAGGCAAAATATGTTGAGACACTACACTACAAATAATGAATAAATTGAAAGACGCTTCTGTATACTAGGTACTGTCACATACAAATCAGATATTAATTACCAGGTATTGTGTGTATATATAACAACGTGTTTTATTATACGTTAATTGCTATACGTAGTATGAAACCCATGTGGTTGCAATGTATGTACATCAAGTTGTGCTTTTCTATACATATGCAGTAACAGCAAAAATGAATATTTACCCAGCAGCCTCTTGCAGGATTCACCTGAAAAGTCCCATCCACAGGAAACAGTGATGGCGCAAGACTTATGAAAAAGTGTATACTAAGTTAAATTCTGAAACAAAGAGGCAATTGACTCACCCAGAGTTGTTGCGCATGTGGTTTTCAATGGTAAAGACAATGGCACCACAGTCCTCACTCTCATTAGTTCCATTATCACTGCCTGGCAAAACGGAAGGCGGTCTTTATCACATATTTTCGGTAAGCTATCAACACCAATCTGTTCATCAATTTCTTGGTGAACTTTGGCTTGTACATCAGGGAAATGTACCAGGTACACTATTGCCCAGTCAATAGCATGTCTTGTTTGATCTAAGGCAGCTGAAATAGGATACAAAACCCAAGGGCGGATAAGACATACATATTGATATTTGG